GACTATCAGTTGGCGACGGCCCCAGAAGACGGAAGAAATGGCGCCTAGCCCGGAAGACCTGACAGAGGTAGAACTACCGGAAAGCTATATTGGTGAACAACCGAGGAATGTGTTAACACAGTACCCTACAGTATACAGTGGACAAGTTGGTCGAACAGGGATAGTGGAGCACGAAGTACTGTTGAACGACCCAAAACCCGTGGCACTAAACCCGTACCCAAACACCAAGGACAAGAGGGCAAAGATCAACGACACCTAAAGTCAGATGACCAAGCGAGACGCCGGAGAACAACAATTTCGATTGGAAAAAAACTTGGTGTACCGGATAACTCCACGAGATAAGGGCGATGATATCATAGCCGTAGTAATATCCGCCAACAAACAAGAACGGATGCCACGATCATGAAATTGCCTCGCATCCGGGCTGGAAAGAAACCTGGAGGGCCATACAAAACCGCTTCTACTGGAAAGGGATGCGGGAGATGGTATTGCAGTACGTCCGGGAAAAGTCGAGTATGTGCTTGCGCAAAACCACTCAACAGGAAACCGGAAGATGCGATATCAACACGAGTACCACGGCCGCGATAGGAAGTCCTGAGGAAGTACTGATAACACATATTGTTTATATAGTGACATGTTTTTGCGGGATTCATGAGCATACAAAATATTTAATATAATATAAATCTGGTATAACAAAACCATATATTCAACAAACATATTTTAAAAAAAAATTCATACTAATAATACGTATAAGAGATGGGACAAAATTTGTTTTAAATACTTAAAAATATAGTAAAACACGTATCTGCATATACAGGGTGTCTCACAAAGATAATTCAAATGAAATAACTTTTGTTCTAGTGAATATATTTAAGATTTCATTTTTTAAATAATTTATGCTCATTGACGCTATAAGCATCGCGCTTTTTTATTGCATTTAACTATTTTACTTTTTTAAATTTGGTTTTTTACATTTTTTTTTTTAAATTCAACATTAACAATACATTTTTCCTGGTCCATATACAGGTTTTAGATTATTACTTTTAAGGCCTTTAAAGGTTGATGGATAGGGTGGGAGGTAGTTATTTTTATCTGCATGCAATACTATAATATCGCACTCCACCTTCCATCCTACACTTTAAACTTAAAAAGCATTAAGATTAATTATCCGAAGCTAGCTCAATTTCCAGCAAGTAATTCCTAATAAAATGGATATCTTAATTTTTTTCAAATAAATATAACAAAAAAAATTAAAAAATTTTAAAAGTAAAATAGTTAAGTGCATTTAAAAACGTAGTGCTTCGTGCGCAAATGAGTTTAAAATTTTTTTTACTAGAACTAGAGTTATTTCAACTGTCTATCTTTGGCGGACATCCTGTATAGAGAATTAATATTTGTCAAAATATTCATGTTTCTAGAATTTACCCAATATGAAACACCCTGTATAAAAGTTTCCAACAATATTTAGCAGCTGAATGTTAATTTTACAGTGTAATACGCTCAATTGTATGCAATATGAGTTATAATATGTCTTAGTGCTCTACTTTAAATGCTTGTAGATAACATGATGAATGGAAAATTTAAAACAATATCTTACTCGAATCGCAAGGAATAATTTTCTCAGGCTCTTGTATTCCAAAAAATTCTTTCTTAAATTTCGTGATATTTTCTTCGATATTTTCACTAGAAGACATTTTGTGATTTTCGTACAGCCTAATAATTTCAGTCAGTTGTTTACTGTTCAGTCCAAAGCTCTAAAAAAAATATTTTTAATTAACGTTGTATTTAATGTGTATTGCGATGACGTGGCTGATTTACACATATTTTATATTCTGTTCTCTCAAACCAACGTTAATTAATTTTAGACATTTTATCTGAGATAAATCGTTATCTAATTAATACTCTTACCCACGCTGATGTTATGAGATACAACGCGCAAAGTATAACAGCACTTTTGAAATGCATAGTACTTTTTTAAAGAATTAAAATTCAAACGAATACGTGTAAAGACTACGGGCACCAAAGTAATATAACAAATAAACAGTCGAATATGTATTTTTTTACTTGTTTTTGGTATTCTGGCACAAGTTGAAAAAACAATGTTGGCCGGGCCAAATGTTAGTCGGTGTAGTTGGTCGATGGCAAGGGGGAAGATGAAGGGGTTTGCTAAATACACACAACTGTAGATTTGTATACTATTATTTTGCAGTATTATTATTAAGAATAACTCGTATTTTTTCTTACCTCGGATGTGGAGATGAGTTGTTTTTTTGTTTACAATAAATGTGTTTTTTATTTTGTGTTGTTTAGTTGTTGATAAGAATCAATGCATGTATCGAAAAAACACTTTTTATTATGTTGCTTATTACACGGAGAACAATGAGAGGGTCATTCTATGGCAAATCGACTAATGTGTGTGTGAGTGGATTTTTGAAATGCCTCGAAATTACATATCTTATGCAAACAGTTCCATAAAATCAAAAAAATGAAGAAAAATTTATTTGAATATAGCATAGCCTAAGTCCAAAAAAATTTAAAAAAAAAGTTTTTCTTCATTTTTTTCGCTTTATGGATTTATTTGCATAAGATATGCAAGTGTGAGGCATTTTAATAATCCACTCGCACACACATTAGGTGATTTGGCATGGAATGACCCGAGAACAATTTTTTAAGAAAACCCATTAAATAAATACAATTGCAATAACTTTATTGTTTTTACAATGTTTAACGTTAATTATTCTACCATCTACAGTATCGCGTTGAAGCATTTCCAGTTGAAATCAATCAGGTGGCAGCTGGCAAAAAAAATATCAGAATTGTTTAGTAAAATTAATATAAGGAAATGACCAACTAAAAAAAAAAAAGAGTATTTGCGGTGTTACTTGTTTATAAAATCAGAGTACAATTAGTTTAAATTAAAACTTAAAGGAAAAGACTTAGATATCGTTGAATTAGAATCCTAATCTGATAGTAGAAAGTTAGTACAAAAGGCGGCAGCAAGTAGCTGGTAGTTTTATATTTTCCTACAATATTATACATAGTTCCTCAATTTATTATTATGATGAATTCTTAACATTACAGGACCACGAAGAAGTGGTGCTCTCCCCCATAAAAGTAAATAACAATAACTGATAATAATACAATAACTAAGAAGTTATTTGATTTTCGAAAGTATAATTAATTTATTTTATAATTTTATCTAAACTTGTTGTTTAACGTCTCTTAAATAAAATCAAAACAAATCAATTGTGTTTATCGTAAATTATAAAATACAATCTGTTTTTTATTTTGGGTGATGATGAAATAAAACTATAATATAGTAATTCGAGATTGACCCGTTGAACATTTAAAAATGAATGAAATAATATTATAATTAATATCAACTAAAATTTGTCAACGTAGGCCATATTTTATTTTCTGTCGCTAAAGTATTACTCAATACGCAAAATCAATTTGTATTGCCAAATATATTATATTCACTCTTATTTAAAGCTAATTACGGAATAGATATAATTATGCTATAAACATAATAGTGTTATAAAATTGTTTACATCAAATCTGGGTGTGGATTAGGCAGTAAATGCGCAAAGCTGTATCGCAGGCACTAAGCACTAGGCGGCCAGCAGCTGCACTTGACTCCAACGATACGACCATATAACTCTATCGGCTAATCCGACAAGTAGTTCTACCAAACCATCGCCGTCGACGTCTCCCTGTGATACTTCCTATGAAACAGATTCGGATAATAAAGCTAATACATACAAAACATATGTGCATTTTCAAAACATAAAATCTTAAAGAGTTAACTTTAGTGTTGGCCATGATACGTTGGACGTGCACTGAATCAAGCTTAATGATAGATTCGTCCACCGATTCTGACTGGCACAATTTCAAGCATAAATAAATGTGGCACCATCCATCAACCTGAAATTCATCTCGCAGCTCATCATATCTCCAATGGCTATGGCAGTGATAATTCCCAGTCCGTATATTTTCTGGATTTGTCTTAGGGCTTTAAAAAAGTAACAAATCTCCGTCCACGGTACTCTATGTTAGGTACTTGGCTAAATATATGTTGTAAAAAAAATGTAAATTCAATAACCTTACTTTGTACAATCCCGAAAGAGAGTTAGAAGAAGATGACGCTAATGATGATGATGATGATGATGATGATAATAATAATAATGATAATAATGTATCAATAGAGAGATTATTTTTAAATTATTAAAATTATTTTGTTAAATATATTAAATTAAGATGTACTAAAACACACGGGGTCATTTGGTAGATTTCGAGAAAATCAATCTCAAAGTTTACATCCACATGGCGTTTTCGTTTGGGGATTATGTGATTTACCACAAAATTGCAGCACATTATGAATATTTCGCTTATCAATCTTTACCACCATATCAAATGATCACTTTGTAGTTTAGCTGTGAACTTAAATTCAGATGTTGGAAAAACGCCACTTATACCCATTGTGTCCTGGGCGCCTCAATTGCAATATTAAAACAAATATCAATATTCTACTTGATATATTTTAAAGAACCTACACCGATTTATGTCTGTTCGTTGTTGGGAACAACAATAACAGGGTTTTCCTATATGAAAAACACTATCTACTAGTCTTAATGTCGCCTGTGCATTACAATGGCAGTACTGGTAATCTTCCACTATGTATTTAAAATAACGCCAAAGCGTCGGGTCATGTATGGACTATGTAAGATATGGTAAAACTTATTTATACTTAATAGCGAAAATAGATGTGTAAAAATGTAAAATGGGTTTTTGATTAAAATAATGAAACCTTTTCCCACAGGAATACTTCAATCATTATTATAATATATAACTACACGTTTCACCTCAAAAAAAAAAAATTATATTATTATATTATTTTTCTATATTAGACATAGAGAAGCGGTACTTTAAATATTATAATTAAAAAGTAAATGTAAACGTTTTGAAATTTCAAATAGAAATATTTCGAATAACGCGCTGGCACAAGATAAAATCAATATATTATTTTTGAAGATTGCTTGTCGCCATCACGTACAATGGCTAGCTCAATTTTCTCTTGTAATTTACATATAGTAGCTGAACATAATTTTCAAGAATTTTGCAATGTATGTTTTTGAACCTAAAAAAGAAAATTACATTTTTATGAGCGATGGTCAATTATAATTATGATTAAAGCGTTTATAGATATTATTGGAGAAACTACCTTCGTTATTTCGAGGACAACTCAAGTCTGGAATTACAAACCAATGCGTTTTGATGGACTTCATCATAGTAGCCAACTCTTTTTTAGAAAGCAGACAATCACCGTTCTTGTCGTGTTCTACGAAATCGCTTAAGATAGACCGCACTATGGTTGTATGAATGAACCCTTTTCTTGTGTATTTCTGGACAATTTTCAAAGTAAAAAATATCATTTAGACCATCAAATAGTTACTTAGTAGGTAATGTAATACACAATAACAAAGCAATGAAGTATGAGTTTTACCTTCCTGCTACGTTCTGCCGTAACCAACACCAACTCCATCAACTCTTTCGCAGGGGATCCTGTGCGGTTTTCAATTAATATTATTTCAAAATATCATATATAATAGCTAAACTTATGAAACGTGAATACTTTAACAACATATTCTTACGGTTGCATTCGAACAGCAATTTCGAATCATGTTTTGGGCGAGCCATATTAAACTCTATGAAGAGGTCTTGAACTTCCTTAGGATCAATTCTCCCGGTATCAGATATATAATCAAAATGATACAGATTAATGAGCATTTGTATTTGATCTAGGTCCAGGCCATACCCCTATAATGTAAGTATTCATGAAAGAAATTAATACTTAAAATGAACATTTCACTGGTATTTATATACGAATATAATATTGGAAATTCGTATAAAGAGAGAACAACGAATTTAGTTTTTTTATGTATGTATTTATATATTCAAAGAAATAACAATGAATATTCGTTTAGTAATTTATAATTAAAAAAATACAAAACTGAAAATAAAATTATAGAAATTTCAAAAATAAAATGATTAAATTTGTATTACTTTTAACGATTTTTTTTATTTTTTGTTGTCTTATGAAAATATGATTTTTTTTTTGCTTTGTTCGTTTAAACTTTTTGTAATTTTCAAGAATTGAAAATTGTACTATATACTTATTGAAAATTTAAATTCCTTAAGTGTTAACCGATCAATGCTATTTAATAGGTAATGATAATATTATGTTCGATGTTTTGTAAAGTTTTCATTTAATAATCTTTAAATAATAGTATTAATAATAATAATATTTGTTAATTTTCCCGCATAATATACAACTGCTTACTTCTGGTTTGGTTTCCAACATTATCAACAAGAAATCCGCTTCATTGATAACAAATTTGACTAAAATTGAATTTTAAATTTTAAATTATCGACATAAAGTAAACGGCCTATAAATACCGTCATAAATGTCTACTTGTTTTTTTTACCTTTATGTTTTTCGACTATATTTTCGATCTCCGTTTTTTTTAATTTTAAGTCTTTTAATAGCTCTGGTAGCTGTTGAACACCAATACATCCATTTTGGTCAGAACTCATTGCGTGTTCAGTGAACACTCGGAGGAAAAACTCCACTTCAAAATACGTAAGCATTTGAGTCTAAGTCCAATGTATTACACACACAAAACCAACGCGTTATTAATTTAGAATATTATGATATTTGATTACATTTGATGTACATTTTATTGGTTTTTAGTTTTAAAAAGTTATTTCAGACCGAATACCTTGAAGCTGTCGTGTGTTTTCTTATCTTCATACGCTAACGTCAACAGTAACTTCTTCAAATCTACAGCATTGGCCTCATCTACATAAATTGATTAGTAAACAATTCGTTTTAAGTCGTTCATTTTTTTTTTTTATAGTACAGAGTGATTTTTTTTGGGTAATGTGAAATTTTACCAAAATATGTAACTTCTAAATAGGTAAACATTTTTTTAGAATTTTGTTGAAAATCAAATGGGCAAAATTGTTGAACATTTAATTGTGTACGACACGGTCGGGTATTGTTATATTTTAATAAACAGTATATTTGAACTCTGGTGTTATTATTTAAATTTAGTTAAATTAATACCTGTACAAGTATCGTCTTCGGTCACGACAATTGGCTCAGTTGGTAGTTTTTGACCTAAAGTCGAAGGGAATAAAGAAAAAAAACTGTAAGTACAACATTTAATTTAAAAAGTAGAAATTGTTTCCAACAATACTTAGCAGCTGAATGTTAATTTTACAGTGTAACACGCTCAATTGTATGCAATATGATTGACATAATATAATATGTTTTAGTGCTCTACTTTAAATGCTTGTAGATAACATAATGAATGGAAAATTTAAAACAATACGTTACTTGATTCGCAAACAATAAGCTCAGGCTCTCGTATTCCAAAAAATTCTATCCTAAATTTCGTGAAATTTTACCAAAAAATCTAACTTCTAAATAGGTAAACATTTTTTTAGAATTTTGTTGGAATTTAATTGTATATGACACGGTCGGGTATTGTTATATTTTAATAAACAGTATATTTGAACTCTGGTGTTATTATTTAAATTTAGTTAAAATTATACCTGTACAAGTATCGTCTTCGGTCACGACAATTGGCTCAGTTGGTAGTTTTTGAACTAAAGTCGAAGGGAATAAGGAATATAACGAAATTTTATTCCCCAACCCGATTAATTTTACAAACGGAACCACCGGACAGAACTCAAATAATTTTTTGAAATTTTCATGTCTTAGCTCTGGCACATAACCATGGCAAATAACCGAAAAAAGCGTTATCAAAAAAGCGTTACGCTGTTATCTGATACGAGATAAGAGATATGTTGAACGTTCAACGTTCAAATTAGAACTAAATAATAAATTTAAATTAGTTTAATTCTTTATGTTAAGTTATTTTTGGCCAGATAATAAACACTACAATTTTAGCCAGAAACTTGATTGTACAAAATTTTTTAATCTCCTTGGCTTATGCTGTAACTGGAAGCTCCATGTGATTTTTTTTTTTTTTTAATTATAAATCTACAACTAATCTAAATTTATTCGGTACTTCAACGAGACATGAAAATGTTCTATCGTGGTTGCAGACTCGGCTGAAAAATGGCTGATTTTTTATCAAAAACCACAACAAAATATAAGTGGAAAATAACTATGGGCGTCTAAGTGGATAGGACCAGTGAGACTGGGAAGTTCTCTGGGGAAAGGTGTTTTCTGCACGGAAACTTAGCCGGTCATAAAAGTTCACTGCTCCGAACCAAAACCCGCTTATGTGACCAATTACTCTACGCTGATTTCAGATATTGTTATATTATTTTATTAATAAACGGTATATTTGAACTCCGATGTTATTATTTAAATTTAGTTAATAAATTAGTACCTGTACAAGTATCGTCTTCGGTCATGGCAGTTGGCTCAGTTGGTAGTTTTGGACCTAAAGTCGAAGGGAATAGAGAAAAAAAAACTGTAAGTATAACAATTTATTTTAAAAAGTAGTACGTTTTTCTTTTGTCGTGACCAAAAAATTTGTTTTATTAAAAAAAAGTGAGTAAATAATTTTAAGCGGCGCAGTGGACGGACTTACGCATAACATAAGAGCAATAGCCAATAAAACATCTGTATGGTATCGTTTTAAATTTAATATTTATATTTCAGAATTCTGAAAGATATAGATAATAATATACTCACCGCGTACATTAATATTATATGTGTAGGTTAAATACTGATAACACATATTGTTTAAATAGTGACATGTTTTTGTGGGATTCATGAGCATACAAAATATTAAATATTATATAAATCTAGTTTAACTAAACCATATGTTCAACAAACATATTGTTAAAAAAAAAAAAGAAGTTCATACTGATAAAACGTATAAGAGTAAAACACGTATATGCATATACAGGGTGTCCCACAATGATAAGACAAATGAAATAACTTTTGTTCTAGTGAATATTTTTAAGATTTATTTTTTTATATAATTTATACACTATAAGCACCACGTTTTTTTATCGCACTTAACTATTTTACTTTTTTAAATTTGGTTTGTTACATTTTTTTTAAATTCAAGCTAGTCATTTTATCGCCAATAATTTGCACCGTATTTTTCCTGGTTCATAAACCTGGTTTTGGATTATTACTTTTTAGGTCATTAAAGGTTAATGATTAGGATGGGAATTAAATAGTTATTTTTATCTGCACGCGAAACTATATCGCACTCCACCACCCATCCTACACTTTAAACTTAAACCACATTAAAAGTAATTACCCAAAACTAGCTCAATTGCCAGCAAGTTATTTCAATTGTCTATCTTTGGCGGACACCCTGTATAGAGAATAAATAGTTGTCAAAATGTTAATGTTTCTAGAATTTTCCCAATATGAAACACCTTGTATAAAAGTTTCCAACAATACTTAGCAGTTGAATGTTAATTTTACAGAGTAATACGCTCAATTTTATGCAATATGATTGACATATTATAGACTATAGTATATCTTATTGCTCCACTTTAAATGCCTGTAGATAATATGATGAATGGAAAATTAAAAACTATATCTTACTTGAATCGCAAGGAATAATTTTCTCAGGCTCTTGTATTCCAAAAAATTCTTTCTTAAATTTCGTGATAGTTTCTGCGGTAATTTCACTAGATGACATTTTGTGATTTTCGTACAGCCTAATAATTTCAGTCAGTTGTTCACTGTTCAGTCCAAAGCTCTAAAAATAATATATTTAGTTAAAGTTATACTTAATGTGTATTGCAATGACGTGGCAGATTTACACATATTATGTATTCTGTTCTCTCAAACCAACGTTAATTAATTTTAGACATTTTATCTGAGATAAATCGTTATCTAATTAATACTCTTACCCATGCTGACGTTATGAGATACAACGCGCAAAGTATAACAGCACTTTTGAAATGCATAGTACTTTTTTAAAGAAATACAATTCAAACGAATACGTGTAAAATAAAACGACTACGGACACCGAAGTATTATAATAAATAAACAGTCGAATAAGTATTTTTTACTTGTTTTTCGAATTCTGGCACAAGTGTAAAAAACAATGTTGGCCGGGCCAAATGTTTTTGGGTGTATTTGGTCGATGGCAAGGTGGAAGATGAAGGGGTTTGCTAGATACACACATCTGTAGATTTTTATACTATTATTTTGCAGTATTATTATTTAGAATAACTCGTTATTTTTGTTACCTCGGATGTGGAGATGAGTTGGTTTTTTGTTTACAATAAATGTGTTTTTATTTTGTGTTGTTAAGCTGTTGACAAGAGTCAACGCGTGTATCTGAAAAACACATAAACACGAAAAAGTATTTTTTACTTGTTGTTCGTATTTTAGCGCAAGTGTTAATAAAATGTTTGCCGGGCCAAAAGTTATTGGACGTAATTGGTCGATGGCAAGGGGGAATATGAAGGGGTTTGCTTGGTGCACACAACTATAGAGTTTTGTACTATTTTTTTGCCGCATTATTATTTGCAATAAATCGTATTTTTTTTACATTTTATGTGAAGATGAGTTGGTTTTTTTGTTTACAATAAATGTGTTTCTTATTTTGTGTTGCTTAGGTGTTGACAAGAGTCAACGCATGTATCTGAAAAACACTTTTGTTATGTTGATTATTACACGGATAACAACGAAAACAAATTATTTAAAAAAACCATTAAATAAATACAGTTTTAATAACTTTTATTGGTTTTCAATGCTCAATCTTAAATATTCTACCATCTAAAGAATTGCGTTAAAGCAATTCTTGATGACAGCAATCAGGGGGCAGCCAGCAAGTACAGATAGGAATTTTTTAGTAAAATTTTACGTTCTTTTTAAAGGTAGTTACTGTTTTCCAACAAATTATAGAAATAAATATAATTTTTGCTGAATAAACACTAACCGTTTGCCATTTGGCCTAGATATGTTACTTAGTTTTATACATTTATCGTATTATTTCTCACTCCTACTACACACTGTAACTTTTGTAATACTAGCAAGTTTTTTACTTATTACTTCAGAAGTAAGTCCGACCGACCAAATCTGACTTCAACACCGCCATCAGCATAAAAAACCACACATTTTGAAGAAAAAAAAAAGAAAAAAATACGAGTGGGCGCTAAATTAGATTATTTCCATATCGCGTTATAACAACAAAAAACCCAGTACAGTGGGGTCGGGGAGGTCACAGGCTTACAGGAATTTTGAAATCTGAAAGTGATAAAATCACTTTCGAAAAAGCGCTTCGATGGAAATCGGTAGTTAGTATTTTCAAGCCAGTACAGTCCAAACCATGCACATTTATGGGCGGTAGACTGCATAAAAACCGTTATCTAATCTGGATCCAATAAACAACAGTCCTCTTCATAATTTGCAGGTAGTTGGACCTAATATACTCATAGTTAAACTTCGGTACGGTCGTCCGCGGGCGATAAAATAACGAGATAATGACGGTGGTTTTGTCGTGTCAGAACGATAAGTTTCTTAATAAGTGGACGAATCGGTTTTTTTCCCAATAAATCGTGTATCTACTGTTATCAGTTACACGATTTAGTCGGCTGTGATATCATGTAATAAACACAATATTATGATACCAACCGTTGGGTTCAACCTAACCTAATACAAGTCGATGTTACCAACCGAGAGTTATTAACGTCTGTTCGTTTCTCACATCTGGTACACCGTGTTTGTAGTTAAAAAAAAATGTTATACATTAAAACTCGTATGGTTTAATTTTGTTTTTTCAAATTTTGACTGTGAAAAAGTAAACTTTTTCAACTTTTATTCCCCCAAGTACCAGCTAGATGATATTTGTGATTTACATAGTTGCTACTCGAAGGAATTGGTCCAGTGTTAAAAAAGTTACAGTGTATACAGAGACAAAAAAACCAATACCTTCACCGCTCTGCATCGAAGCTAAAACATATTTATATTTATGTGATTATATTAATTTTGAAGGGAGCGGATTAACACTACACAGGGCCGGTTGTCCAAAATTTGGCAAAATTACTGTTCTTCAAAATATAATCAAATGAAAACGCAATGATAAGCAACTCAAAAGTATTTTTATATAATATGTTATTAAGGTGGTCATTAAGGTTGGAGTATGTTATATATACGAAATCAAAGAAGACCTACAGTTAGTAAAACCGTAAAACAATTAATGGGTTTTATTTTTGTATAAACCTGTTTACTATTTATCACTAATTTTCTTAATTTTAAGTGTACAAATCAGTATATTTTGTACATTAAACTTAACAAATAAATTATTATATTATTTAAATAATATCTAAAATACATAAAAAAAATGGTAAATAATTTACAGACTTTTATTCTTATCACAGTACCGCGCAAATCAATATTCGTTTAATAATAGACGTACAAAGCTTACAAAACATAGTTATCGACTAGGCTATCTTATCTAGCATACATTCAGTAGTCACATAAAACTCTGACTTAATCTTTGCAATTTAGTTCTTGTTCTTTGCCTGCAGTTAACCAACGCTTTTGTTTTAAACCCTTACAGCTTGACATTGTAATATTAAAGATACATTTTATATACAACTTTCCACGACCAATAGGATTTTCGTCAGTGTTTTCTTCACATTAAAAAAAAAGTTATTGTCTGTCAGTAACATACATGCATATATATTTATAAACATACACACAAACAATAAGAACAGTCATCATACATTTTATTATTTGTCCATGATTTATTATACGCATGGATAAGTTATATCTTGAAAATAATGAAAATTATTATTAGATGATCAAAATTTGGTTAAGATCAAACAAATCCACCAGAGTTCAGAGTAGATTTTATAGAATTTTGCCACTTGTGTCGTTTATCTGGATTGCTCTTAAAAATCCAGATGCTTTAATAAAGGTGGTTGATGCTAAAGTCGAAAATGAAACTTGTTCGATAACATTTGTAAACGGAATTATTATACCGCACAGTTGAAGACGTTAGTTTTGAATTTGACAAAAATGGTCCTTCACACCAGTAACATTTTTCCAAGTGATTTATTTCGAACAGCAATAAGGACAACTTATTTTATAGTACTATTCCTTGTTTAATAACACTCGGTATGAGTGGATAGTTGCTATTGGATAGTATTTGAATATATTTGTATAGTTTCTAATTTTCATCAGTCGGTTCTCTACTTGTAACACGTTGTAAAGATTTGAAATTTTGATAGATATTCATTTTGGGGTTTTTAACACAGGTAGCATATTGTAGGTACAACACAGGTACCAAATACGATACTTGGTTTACATATAAGAATTGAAGATTAAAATATCCTAATTATTGAATAAACGTAGTAAAGTATGTACCTAAAAGTTTAGGGAAAAAAATTCTCAAAATATTCATATTTTCAGAGAAAATGAGTGCCTTGCGCTACTTGGATCACCCTGTATATTATTATAGATTAATTTAATTCGTATTAACATCAACTCAAGACGTTTTAATGTAGCTCGCTCATTTTTTTAAATTTTATAATGGTTATGATTTATAATATAATTCCCACAATTATTATTATACACAAATAGTCATTGTTTGGTAAGGGCTTTCGGTCGACAAAAATCCCAATTACACATCGCAAGCAAATCATTTTAAGACAACTCAACAACCGATCGAGTTGATAATTTGCTTATAAATTCTATCGTTTTATTTGTTTATTTCAATAATACTAATCAATAGCCAAAATTGTAAGTACATTATTTGTATGTTTTGTTAAGTAATAATAATTATTTAATCTACATCTGCTTGTGATAGCTTTTGAACAGCCCAAAGTCAATTACATTAAATCCCAAAACTAATTCCAGAAATTATACTCAGAATACATAGTTAATTTACACCAAGCTGTACTATTTGGAATACACACGGTGATCCAACTAACTTAAGACACTCACTTTCTTGGAAAATATGAATATTTAGAGAAATTTTCACCTTTGATTTTGTCATATGTCCAAAATCGTTATTTTGGCGTGGCACTTAAATTCAAATAAAAAATGATCAGCTGAGTTATAAATTACACCGCTGTAGTCAAGTGTGGACTTAATTATTGATCAATTATAATTAGATATAATTTTGATTCAGTTAAAATGTTATTTAGCTTTCTGAATGCAGAGAGATCATATTTACCATGTGAGTTGGTCGTCAGTAAGTGTAGATAGGCCTAATAGTCTAATGGAGTCAGTGAGAACTATTTTACTGTTGTCCAGTTATTATTCAGTTTTGATTGGCATTTTACTTTTATACTGGGTATATTATTTGTGATATTTTTTTTTACAGTTGTTTGGACAGTAGATGTTATTAGCTCAGATATTATTATATCTATTGTAGCGTCTCAACTCTGTATTCAAGCTGAAATTAAAATTATGACTTGAGTATAAAATAAAAATATTTAATGTTTATTATTATTTTCAGATTAAAATGGAACTTTTACGTATTTTAATATCATTGGCATTGGTAAACAATTTAGAAGCTGTAATGGGTGATTATTTTTTTTACACGTACCTGCCTTAGTATAAATTCACAAATAAAACTTAAATATTGAAATTTTTTTACTGATGAATTTTATCGTAGGATAGCTATGAGAACAAGTCAGTAAACCTTTTTTTTTTAAATAATGTAATGTTTATATTTATAAAATGTATTTACAGACCTAACCATCAAGATGAACCAAGGTAAAATAATTGTTTTGATAAATTTGTTTGACTAAAAAAAAAGTTTAAATTATAGTTTCTTTAATATGCAATGATTAAAAACTAATGAGGTGTAATCTACCAGCCATTAACGCAAAGCAGATACTAAATGTATGTAAATAAAATAATTTTATTCTTATACTCAAAGAAGCAGTTACTATAATTTAATTTTAATTCGTGGCGCAGAGAAGGAGAATAAATAATATGTTAGGTTGTGGATTATTGTATAGATGTCCCAGGAATTTTTAAGAGCTAATAAAACTCTAGTTCCTTAACAAATG